CTGCCCATGGGAGTTCCGGCAGCAGAAAACAGGAGGAGGGAAGCCAGGGCAGAGAAACGAGCTGCCTTGTTCCTTGGCCATGAAGCTGGTACTGAGACATGGCTTTTCTCACCCAGAGCAACAGCTTTTGTCGAGAAATTAAACAAAGTTGTTTCAGAGACACGTTGAAGCAGGGAAGAAAGAGAAGGAGGACGTGCAGAGCCCAGGTCAGAGCTGGCAGAGGCACCGCGCGCCTCCCCGGGACCCTCTGTTCAGGCTTTAAGGAGAGCTCAGCAAGGCTGGGTGTAAATATTTAGAAATATCCATATGCTAAAAATAGCTCGCTCTCTATATGCAACTGCTCTGTTGCCATCTGTAGTGGCAAACAGTGACACCCCCGTGTAAAGCCTTTGCAGGCAAGCCCCACCATCCCTTCACACAGCCCTGGGGCCCTCAAGGCAGAGGCCAGCCCCAGGGCGTGAGCCGTGAGAGAGCAAGCAAAGGAGTCCCTTTACCTCACGGCTTACACCTCGCTTGCAAAGAGTTGCAGCCCGGTGATCTGGGATTGCAACCGTGATTTCAAATCTGTTATGTCCTGCCTGGGGGAAAATAAAAGCTGCTATAAACCCCTTTGCATGCCAGAGGAGCCCAGGGCAGGGATGCTCCTCACCCAGCACCAGTTCCTGGTTGTCATATCTCTCGGTGGCTTGCTGGTGCCCTCTGCAGTTGTCTCTCCTTATTGTAAATGCAAAATATTAACAAGAAGGGTCGATTTTATTGCTCAGTGATAGCAGGGGGACACGGGGCTGTTTGCCCAGGTTAGGAGAAACATCGCAGGGCAGTAGCGAAGAGGATGGACAAAGCTCCCAACCCCGATTTAAATAGAAATGCTGAAAAGTGCATCTTCCTCAGGCTCTGTCAGCACCCGAGGAAGATCTGAGCATCCCTCCACAGGGAATTCCACGCTGCCTGCCCAGCCCAGGGCAGCGCCTGCTGCGCCACGTTAAAAAACCAAACTCCGAGAGTTTCCGCAGCTCCTGAAGGAGGGGAGAGCTGAGGGGAAGCGGAAGACAAAATTCCGAGCAATGCGAGAAAAGAGAAAACCCAACACAACCCAAATATAAAAACTTTAAGTCATAAAAGTTTGCCATTTTGGCAAATAAAAATTTGCAGTGACTAGGGAGCGCCTTTCCAAAAATTTCCTCAGCTCCTAGATTTCGGAGGTACCCACTCTCGCTGTCCCCAAAGCAATCTGCTGGATGCCCTGGCAATCAGGCTGACTTGCCTGAGTAACTACCTCCTTCAGGGCAGGAGCTTTGTCCTCCTACGAAGGCAAAATTGTTTTTCAAAGCTCAGCTCCCAAGCTCCATCAGTTCCTGTGCCAAAGCAGCAGCTCACAATTGCAACCGAAACACACGTTTTAATGCAAAACCCTCGGAAACTAAACCCACCCCTCGGGGAAGCTGCGAGGCTTTGCTGGCCTCGTCCGGAGGCAAAGAGCCTGCGGGGCCGGCAGCTTTGGGGTGTGCGAAGCAGCTGAAGCCAGCGCTGCTGCCGCAGAAACAACACTGTGAAGTCCCATCTTGGCATTTAAAGGTATTTTAGGTGTCCCTGACCCGATACCATTCACAGTGCGGAGGCTGGGGGCTAGAGATGGGTGCCAAGGGCCAGTGTGCAGAGAGGCAGGGGACAGCAACGTCATCGTCCCCAGCCTTCTGTGTGCAAATCTCACACTGGTGTCACAATCTTACCTCCTTAAAATCCAGAAGCTGTTTATTTAAATTAAAGGGTATTTGGAACACGTTGAGCCACTGAAAGCATGACCTGGAGCATTTTTTGGTGTTGGATCAGGAAACGGAATAAGATAACCCTCCTGGGATCCAATTTCTAGAGAAATCAAGCGAATCATTGCCTTTTCCCTCCCCCAGAAAAGCCTTTTCCTTTTCCCAGGCTATTTCCCATGGTGTGCAGAAGGATACACTTACACTGACACAGAAGGTGACTGGTGTAATTTGAGCAGAAATGACCCTCCCGAAGCCTGCTGCTTCTGAACGTTGCAGGAGGTTTTGCTCGTGGTCCACAGGCTTTAAGCACACAAGGGGCACCAGTAATTCTGCAACACAAACGGCACGGGGCAAAGTCCTTCCTCCTGCTCCTCGGACTTTCGTCCCTTGAAAACCAGTTTAGCAGAAGCTTCCTCTGGGACGTCTCCTTCAAAGGAAAACTGACCCATCAAACAGCTGCCTCCAGACCACGGCAAAACCGGGCGATGCAGGAGAAGGCACCGCACGATCCTGCACGGCTGGGGAAGTGCAAAACCTCTTCTCACCCTCCAGCTCCTTGTAAACCCATTATTTTAGAGACACTTCCCCTCCTGTAGTTATTTTCTGGGGGCAGCAGGGGAAGCAGACTGGCTGAGATGAAAGCCCCGTGTTCACTGCAAAGCGGTTGAAACTGTTCCCCGTCCCCTTCCCTTTCTGAACCCCGACAAGCCGTGACAGAGCCTGACATGAGGAACATTTAATCAAAACAAGATTCTCTTTCTCTTGAAGCTTTCTCTGCGGGAGCAGATCCAACAGAAAGAGGCTGCAACAGCTCATGGAAACGCCAAGAAAGCGCAATATCGTGCTACAAAGATACGTACTCCTGGAGTACAAGTTACCCCGGCAGCATGCTGAACCACAAGTGAACCAATCTAAAATTCGGGCGATACAAAGCCAGATCTGTCTTCAAATTTAGTTTTCTTGAAGGCTTCTCTTATAAGAGGGTTTAGGGTTTTTCTTCTTTGCTTGAGTCTTGTACTTAAGAACTGACCTCTACCATCCTGCTCCCTGAGTACCAGCACAAAAGATCAAACCTGGGAGTTTTGGTATGGCAGGAGACAAAGAGCAAAAAAGTGCGATTTTGGGAAGTCTGTTGGTGACAAATAAGCTTTCTCAAGGGATGAAAGTTTTCTGAGGAAGTTTCTGCTTAAAGGCAAAACCTGTAAAACGTGGACGGAGAAGATAAAGCCTCATCCCTGAGGGCCAATTTGCCAGTCTCCAACGGCAGCTCGAAACCAGCGTAACCTGGAATTCTGATAAAGAAAATTATCTTTGCCCACATATATTTACATCTCGGACCATTATTAAAGGTTCCTTCCATCCCAAACCCTTCTGTGACTCTGAGATCTTTTCTCAACGCTCCCCCTCGTGGGAAGGTGCTTCCAAAACACTTCCAGCTCTGCTCTGCTCCTTCTCTCCAGGAATCGTTAGTAGTTAAAAAAAATCCTCTGCTTGTTTTTCTCCTTTTGAAAACAAAAACGTCAGATTGCTTCAGAAACAAAGCCAGATGAGGGTCAATATTAAAACGGAAATAGAGACTCCTACGACACATTACTCTTTTACTTCATGATAGACCACTCCTGCAAGAGTCTACATACAGATTTTAGGTTTTGCTCTAAATAGGATTTTAAAAAAAAAATTTAAATTGTCTATGGGTTTTTATTTATTTTGGAAAGGCTACCAAGCTTTCGGTTCCTCATTCAAACACCAAGGAGCAAATTTCCTTCCCATTCTGCTCAATACCTGAGGTGGTGGACACAGCCGCATCCCACGTTTAAACTGACGTCTGGTCACGGTGCACAGAGCAGCTTAAGGACATCCAAACCTCCCTCAAGCTACTTCTGAGTGAGCAACGGAGGGAACAAAGGCTTTTGAAATTTAAGTAAAATTTAATTGAAGCCGAGTAACTGAAGTTAAGAGAAGTCATTTCCCACACGTATGCTAGAACTGGCCAATGCACAGTAATCCGTGGACAAAAGGGGATTGTTCTCTCCCCCTCCCCTTTTTTTTAATTCTCTTTTTTTTTTTTTTGGATAACTTTGGTACCAAAAGGAGGGAGATTACGAGCTCTTGTTGGCACAGCTGTGACACGTGTCAACAGACTGCTTTACAAAGGGCAAAAAACCATACAAAGCAGCTCTTTATAACACATCACCTAGCTGGAACCCATCGACCACTTCGGGAAAGCTTCTTGTCAAAATGGTGACAAACCCCTGAAATCTCCACAGGGGCTTGCACTGAAATCCGAGGAATTCTCGCCGTTTAACCAAACGGAAGGCAAACTGGAGGAAGCACAGCTTCACGGAGGAACGGCTCCCGAAACCTCGCAGGAACCAGGCACCCCAGGGAAGAGCAGAGAGGGAGCAGCACAAGAAGCAGCAGGAGGGCGGGAGGCAGGGCTGAGGGGCGCTCTCACCTTCCGTGCTGCAGGTAAGTCCTGAGAAAAAAAGCAGGATCAAACTGGCAAGATCTCGTCCACGGAAAAAGTCTACCCCTGGGGTAATTATAAAGCAAAGCCTCCGGAATCAGAAATACGTACTTACAGGAAAAAAAGGGCAAATGTTCA